GAAATACAGACCTTGCCTTGGGGGGTTGGTTTGTTGTTTTTGTCATTTATATTCTTACAGTTCCCTTCTGTTGAAATTCAGGTCTAGGTTTCCAGACAAACACTCAGATGTTCATTACAGTCGTGATCTTGTAGCCACCAAAGTTGTTATAGTTAGAAAATTATTTTTTCAGATCTGTTAAGAATACAACATTGTAATTGAAATCTTTTCTTTAGGAGACAACCTCTACCTTAATGTCATGAAATCCTTGGCAGTTTCAGTGTTTCTTCTACATGTATGTGTTCTGTATATGAGGAATAAATGTGGTTTGCTCCTAAAATTTACAGAAATGACATTATGTGATGCATTTTTTGTAGATGTTTTTGCTTTAATACTTTTTTTGTTCTGTTTTGAGGTTTTTCCATGTTGATGCATGTAAACGTGTTTCTTTTTTAATTGTGGTACTGCATTCCATTGATGGTATATTGAAGCGATTACTTATTCTATTATTAAATAAAACTCAAGAGTCAGATATCAGAGTAAAAATATGATTGATTAAAGAAACTGGAGAAATAATAGTGACCTTTCTTTCTCCTCCCTTGTTCCAAAAAGGCCCACAGATCTTTCTAAGCCCCTCCCTCCTACTTCCTGTGTCTCTCTATATGTCCTGGGTCCTCCAAAATCTCTATGGCTAATTCTGGTCCGTTAGCATCTAGCTCCACCCTCTGACACTGGGGAGTGTCAGAGTACTACCAAAATAACCCACAACAGGATATAAGTATGCCTTATTATAGTGAATATTTAAGTCATCATTTGTTTGCTCCTATAAATAATACTTCTGGGAATGCCCTCATAATTACATGGGCAAAGTATGTGTTTGATGTGCTGACTTAGAGCCTGCATTTATTGCTTATATGTATATTAATAAGTATTTGGCACATATTAAGTCTCACATGCATATTAACAAGTCTTTAAAGTACTCCCGGTTCACAAACCTGACTGTATAAGAATGCTTATTGTTTCATATTAATATTTGTAGTATCAGACTTCAAATTTTTAGACAAATTTATAAAGATGAATGTTAACTAAGAATTTTCAAATTTCTGTTTCCCTGAACATTATTAATGATGAACATATTCTCATAATATGTTTGCAAATAGATCTTCACTTTCATGAGGGGAACTGGAGAGCTAAGAAGAGGGGAGGGGTCTTGAGAGAAAAAATGAGAATACAGCTGAAGTCCCTCTTATTCACTGACTGTGTGTCTACTCTGTACCAAGCAGTGTCTGAACTCTGGAGGCACAGATGAGAACAAAACAGTCTCATCAATGTTACCACTTTTCTGTAAGATGAAGTGAAAGGATGGAAAAATACAACCTAACTCTCCAATGACCACAGGAAGCTAGAAGTTTAGAAAAGCCCTAAAGACTTTAAATTCCAGACCCTGTCCTCTGGCAGTAAATAGGCAAAATGTCACACTCCTTGCTGTTTATCACAGGCTCTTGAGTAAGTGATCCTGACCTCATAAGATAACAGAAAATGAGCTGACTAACCGCCTATCTGACTTGGTAAACTGCTTGTGAAACCCCTGCCCCAGGGACCTATCCTAACTGCCATTTGTCACCCCACCTAGGAGCCCACACAAATGCAGACCTCAGGGCTATAGAAAACTGGTTGATCTATAAAGCTCGGGCTTAGATGACTTAAAATGATTGGTCTATAAAGCGCAGGCTTGGATGACTTAAAATAATTGGTCTAAAAACTATAAAATGGTTTAAATTGATTGGCCCGCACCACAATGGCTCTTGATGCCTTGGGATGATTGGTTTGCAATGTGCGGGCTTTGTTGTAAACCCCATAAAAGCTGTCTCAATTCTGTACTCCAGGGTCCTCAGTTCTCTGCCCCTGCATGGAGTATGATTTTGGACCCCAGTGCACTTGGAATAAAAAGCCCTCATGCAGTTTGCATCAAGACTGCTTCTCGTGAGTGATTTGGGGTGTCGCCTTTCCTGAGTCAGAGCGTGAAGGTCCACACTCTGTGGGTCTTTCAGAAGCAGGATTTTGAAGAAGAATGTTCTCAGTAATTTTAACCAGAGCTCCAAAGGTGAAGAACCTTTCAACTGCTTAGCATCCTGTGTAAATCAGGTAGTGGCCCTCCTGGCAAGGACAAGAACATGCTGAGGGACTGAAGCCATTGCCCATGGGAGCTCTCATTCACCTGAAGCTGTGAAAGGATCCCATTGTTGATCACTACACTAGTAGCTTACAAAGGCCAGATTCTGTAGGAATGGATGTTCTTGCTCAGGTGAATGTGTAGTGTGGGAAGAGAGAAGAGGGTAGTATGCATAGCCTTTTGGTACGCATAGTACTACTGGAGTGGGTGGAGGCAAATGAGCCTGCAAAGGACATTGAAAACTGGTCAAACAAGTGTATGTTGTTTGAAGAAGAAAACCAAACAATCCTACCCCAGAATAAAGCAGAGGACAGAGGGAGGGGGAGGGGGGTGGCGGGGGGGGGGGGAGTGGATGAGGTTTCCAGAGCAGCAATGCCACCCTGTGCTTTTGTCATTCCATCTTGGCTCAGCTTTGACTACAGAGATGACATCAGTTCCCCAAACCTGAGTTCTTTTCTTAAAGTGTAGCAGAGGCCAGTGAGATGTAAGAGGGTAAAAGCCTTTGCCATACAAGCATGTTCAATCCCCAGAACCTGAGGTAGAAGGAGAGAACTGACTCCCAAAAGTTGACCGGTGACCTCTACATGCAAGCCATGACATCATGGGCATGCACACCCCCACCCCCAGACAAACATAAAATAACAAGTGAAATCATTTTAATTAAAATGTGGTTAATACTGTATGTGCCTTAGTTGAGATGATGCAGGCAGGTACTTTGCTCCCTGTCTAATTCATAGTGAATTTGGTAAAATTGTGGTTTTTATCTGTTAGAAGAGAAGTGGGTCTGGGGATGCAGTTTAGTGTTTGTGAAGCACCTGCCTACCATTTGCAACCCTGGGTTTGTTTCTTAGCACCATTAAGGGAAGGATTAAAATTATCAGATGCACTAAAATGGGGGCAGGAATTTTTTTTCTGAAAAGATTTTAGGAATTGAAGACATAAAGGGTCTACTCATCTCCCAAGTTCTGCCACTGAAGCATGAAAGTAACTGCAGACAACATGGGTATGGGTGTGAGTCAAAAAAAACATTTTTTTACAAAAACAGGTGGCAAGTAGATTAAAAATGGTGGGTTACTTGAGCTATGTTTCCTTCCTGTAAACATAATCTGTGGTAAATACATGTGTCTTGGGGCCCTCTGCATTGCCCTAGGGCAGTGGGCCAAGAAAGGCCAGCCACAAAGATTCTGGCTATTAGACTGCTTGCTGTGTCATGAGTATACTGTTTCTTGCTTCTGACCTGGAGATTCCATGTCTTCTGTAAGAGGTTAACCAATTTGATTGTGTGTAGAATAAAATCACATCAACGAACTGACAGTGGTGTGTTGAAACTGTGGGCTCTGTTGAAGGGTTTCCCTGGAGCAAAGTCTTGAGAAGGGAACAGTGACTAAAGGAAGTATCAGATATAGCAGGACATTGTGCAGCAAATAAAAGTGTTTGTGGGGGATATACACATACTTTAGAGACAATACTCTAAACTGAGATGAGGAAAGAGCTCTTATAACTCTGCTAAATGTACTGCCAATGGGTATAAGTTGTTCAAAGGGTAACATAGCAGATCTCCTTAGTCTGTGCCTTTGAGCCAGACATCGGCATGGTATGCTTCTCTGTCATTGTGGATAGACATTTGCTACTTTTTAAATGTCTCTTCCCTGTTTCATATATCATCAGTACAAATATTTAGGAGTCACTTTACCACTTCACTGGATGTATAGACATTGGACAAAGAATATTCAAGTAAGAGACCAAGGATGATTGCTGATGAGATGCTGTTTCAAGGAGAGAACTATGCTGAAAGTGTTATGTATGACCTACATTCAACTGCATTTTTACCTCTTGATTTGTCAGCTGACTCCTTGAACATAATGAAATCAGAATACTCATTCCATAGCCATAGAAACTTCAACTCTTCAGAAAGAAGAGCCACATAACACTTGTATTCTAAACCAGTGTCATTAGGTTCTAGAGTCTGCCACCATCACAGACTGTGTTGTTGCCATGGCAGTTCCATATGCAGCTTAAGTATTCAGTCTTCTGACACCTCTGTCATTAGGTTCTAGAGTCTGCCACCATCACAGACTGTGTTGTTGCCATGGTAGTCCTACGTGCAGTTTAAGTACTCAGTTTTCTGACCTGTTCCACCTACACAGGGCATTTTACGTCTTATGAATGATGGCCTAGAAGGGAAAGACTTACTTTGGATTAAATTCAGTATGGGAAAATGCTTAAGGTATGCCTTAAAGACAAAGCAAAATAAAACAAAAAAAAAAAAAAAAAACACTTCATGTGTTTCATGTTTTGTACACTAACGAACATTGAAAGTATTCAGAAACGTAGTGTAGTGCTGCTGTTGGGTTCCCACAGTAACTTGAGATCTATGTGTTAAGTTGAAGCTTCCTCAAACCCCAAAGAGATTTTTGCTTCTTCCATGGCAGATATGTTAAAATGTAATTAGTCAATGATATGTGGGTTTATTTTAGTTAATTCCCTTAAATATAGTAGCTTAATAAAAGAGAAAGAGAGGAAGTTCTAACTCTAACTCGCTGAGGACTTATGCATGATATTTTATATTCCCCTTCATTTTTCTTTCCTTCTGCCTACTTCCCCAAGTCCTTCACTCTCCCCACCCCTAATTAACAGAGGGGCAGGCTCTTGTATGGAGATAATCTACCTAGCTACACATTCTTTTGGGTATATCTGTGTGGCCATTAACCTTAAATACCACATTTTCTAATTAGCTGTTGTTTTCCATTGGTATGGTAGAAATTATTCTTCAGGAAGCTTGATAGGTCTCCATTCAGCTACCTGTTTTTGCTTTTTCTTCCTCATTTGGCCTTTTTTTTCACTCTAGCTGCTGGAAAGAGGACCAGAGCTCCCAACAAAATTATCCTGAAGATCTAGTTACTCCACAACACAAACGTCATGGATCCTCTTGTATTTTACAACCAAAAGTAGCTCTGGGTTTCATAACATGTCGTCCTTCTTCAACATGTAAGATAAGTAGAAAATCCTCTTGTTCATCGAGTGCCTCTAGACACTTATTTCGCTCTAGAGGAAGACATGCCTTATTGACAGGACTTCGAAGGAGATGGAGACAGCAAAGTAGAGTTAACTTTGATTCTCAGGAAGACATAACTTCCAATGCCACAAGATCTTCAGGTTTCTTTAGTGCCATTAGATTCCGACGATGTTTTCCCTCCCGCAAGCTAAGTGTAGTTTCCTGTCACAAGAGTAGCATTGTCTATGGTGATCCACAAGGTAGTCTGAACCTGTCTCGTGCAAAGGAAATTCAAGGCTTTCCTAAAAAGTCAACTAATACTGATGCTCAAAAACGTATAAGCTTCTCTGATTCCGAACGTGGCAATAAATGCTTTCCAAATTTGGAAACAAACACTATTTCTCCAGGCCATTGGACTATTGAGAGAACATCTTATCCACCAAGCCTAACGGCATCCCGCTTTTCTCTTCCAACTGTTCTTTCTTCTTCCAGTCGAGAGCATAGCCAACTCCACAAGGATTCGGAAGATGCCCTTCATCACAGGTCTCAGAGACACAGTACAAATTACTCTCCAGGTGGCACTGAACAACTTCAGTCTCAGAATATAACTTCTGCCACAGATGTCAATAGCATAATTGTTGAAGTTACCTCAGGGCCCTTTGCTGCTTCACCTTCAGATGAAGATACACCATCACCTATTGAAATGACTGGAATAAGGTCACCTAGATTTTCCTTTCTCTGAGAAGGGCAGCTCAAATCAGAAATTTTCCCAGCAATCAGTCTCCAAAGTTACTAGAAACCAGTCCTCATTGCTCTTGGGGATCCATTCTCACAGCTGTACTGAAGTGGGGGAAAGAGATTTCTGTATTGTAGTCTAAGTGTAATAGTGTGTGGTTGTGAAAGTTTATAGACATTGTTAGAATGTAAAAGCCAAAGATGATTTCATGTTTCAGGCTTCTGTCAGATTACATTTCAGAGATTGGCTAGTCCTAACTTTCTAAGTGACTATTATACACCATAGTCTGAATATGACACTAAGTTTTTATGTGTAAGTTACCTGAATGTAATACATCTTTAGAGTATAGTGCTTCCTTTCATCCTACTCACCAGAGATGGTATCCTTATATAATCTGTAGTTACGGTGATTGATTCATATATTTTCATTCATATCAGCTTTTACCTATCATATTTCTAACACAGACATCACATTGACAAAGTTTTCAATAACATAAGAATTAAATCAAGTAAACAGTGATATAATGGGAAGATATAGCTTATTTAGAACCCAGATTTTTAATTACATTGATTTATTTGGGGGGTGCCTATGCATGCCATGGTGTGTATGTATGGAGGCCAGATGATAGTCTTTAAGAGGTTATTCTCTTTACCATCTAGGTTCCAGATATCAAATGGATGTCATCAGGCTTGGTGGCAAGTGCCGTTATCAGTTGAGCTCATGACCTAGAAATTTTGACTAATAACTTAATTCAATATTTGTATATGTACAAATCTGGGAACTCAAGAAACCATGGAATCAGAGATTTAGTATATGTATGTATGTATGTATGTGTGTGTGTATACGCATATATATGCACTTAATATATATTTATATATATATGTGTGTGTGTGTGTGTGTGTGTGTGTGTATCCCTCAAAACTGTATTTTTAAGTATTTTTTAATTCTTTTTCAGTAGGCAAAAGTTATACAAGTACTCTCAAAAAAGTAATGAGTAGAGCAGTAACGTAAGCAACTAAAAAAACATTTGTTTGAATATGATTAGACTTTGTTAATAAAAGGGCTTGTGTTGTTTTAGTTGTTTATCATAGTAAAATAAAACACTAACCCCATCATTGGGTTGAAATGTTACTTTTACGTGCAAGGGTCTCTATTTATCTTAACATATTAAAAACTTATTTTTAATTTTAAATATATTACTTGAAATGAGCATGAAGTTCATGTATCATTGAAGCCATTTTGAGGTGTGTCATTTTAAAGGCATTAAATACATCCACAGTGTTATAGGACTAACACCGCCACTCATTCCCATAGCTCTTTCCATCTTGTAAAACTGAAGTTCTATACCCATTAAATTAAAGAATAGCATTCTGGTTCCTTTTCCTCCAAAACCCTGTCCATTAGCCTTCTATATGAGTTTTTACCAATTAAGTGGCTCATATAAGTAGAATTGTTAGTATTTGCCCTTTCCAAGTGGCTTATTCACTTAGTGTTATGTCATCAAGGCTGAATAAGACCCCATTTTATGTATGAATCACATTTCACCTATGCATTCATCTGTCAACAGATAATTTGTGTTTCTTCTGTGTGTTTGAACTGTGATAATTCCACTGTGAACATGGTGCAAATGCTCTTTGAGATGCTGCTTTTTAATGTCTTATTAGTATATATCAATTACACACAATAGTGGATTTCACTGTGACATTTTCATACATGTACACAATGTATTTTGATCCTATTTATTCTTACCTCCTTGTTTCCCTCTTACTCCCTCTGGTCTCCTTTTCTCAACTCCCCACTTGTATTCCATCTCTTTTTTTATGACTCAATCAATTTCATTATGTTTATTATAGGAAAATCAGGAAGGTTTGTTTAAAGGAACATGGACACCTTACTAGTGGCTATACAGTTGAACAAAGTATTTCTACAACAAACATTAACAGTGTATAAATTCTCAGAGATGGAAAGGGCCTCAGGAATTTCTTCCTATTCCATACCCTATTCCATGACAGGATGTTAACAGGCCTACTCTAGTGCAGGCTTTGTGCAGCATCTGTAAACTTAAGAGTACCACAGCCATGCTATGTGTTCAGCACTCCTCACTGTACACCACTTCTATCAGCTTGCATTCTTCCCACCCCTTTTGTGATGTGTCCAGAGCTTTGTGGGGGGATAATGCAGATGTTCCATTTATAGATGAGCATTCAGCAGTTACTTATTTCCAACACTTAAACAGTTGTGGGTCTCTGAAATTACTGCTGGCCACTGCAAGAACCAGCTTTTCTGACCAAAGCTGACAACTGTCATAAACATAGAGGGCAGTTTGACAGCATGGCATGCCCAGTTAGCAAAGCAACAGCAGTAGCCCCCTCACTAAGGACTATGACCTCTCCAGCCTTAGGCTTTTGGCTGGGTTTATAGTACCAGATGTAAATTACCTCCTGTGGAGCAGGCTGCAAATCTAATCAAAAAGCGGGTTGGTTTCTCTCCTAACAGACTTGTCATTATTGCACTAGTGGATATATCTTCAGTAGTTATTTTTGCACTGAAGGGTTCATAGCTGAGTAAACTATTAATGGCAAGTCTCTCCCGTAGCACTTTCCAGCAATTTGAGGGCTAGCCAGGACAGAGGAAGCTTCCAGCTCAGTTTCAGAATGATTTCTCTGTCATAAGACCAGGGCATATGGTAAGATCTTGTTTTAAATAGTTTTTAAGTCTATACCGAATTTTCTAGATCATATTATAGTCTGATCTTTAATTCTTTAAGGAACCATCTTAATGTTTTCTGCAATATCTACACTAATTTTACATTCATACAAGGAAGCCACAGGATTTCTCTTTATTTCCTTAATTTGTCAACGTCTACCTGTGTTGTTTTAATGGGTGTGAAGTGATATTTCGTTTGAGCCTTGATCATCTTTTGGTGTGATTCTCTTTGGAGATAATCTATTCAGATCCCTTGCTTTTCTTCTGTATTCTGTTTTGTTGGTGCATATGCTTGCTTTTATTCTCATGTCACACTGTTTTACCTCTATTGTCTTATAGTAAATTTGAAATTGAGAAATGTGAGATCCCCAACATTGTTCATTCTTTCAAGATGTTTTGGCTACCAGTTGTTCCTTGTGATTTAAAAATGAATTTCAGGATATTTTTCTATATTCTCCAAGATTGTTATTGATATTTTGAGAAGGATCACATTGAATCTGTAGACTATTTTAAATAGTATTAGCATCTTAATATTAAATCTATGAATTTATCTTCTTTATACTCTTTGAGCAATATATTATAAGGATGGTTCATGCCTACAGTTCCAGCTACTTGGGAGGCTAAGGCAGGAGTATCACTTGAGTCTAGAAGTTTGGGATCATGGTGCTTTATGGCACTAAGGTCAACATCAATGTGGTGGCTTCCTGGGATTGGAGACACCAGATTATCTAAGGAGGAGTGAACCAACCCAGGTCAGAAGCACAACATGTCAAAACTCTCAGGATACAAGCCATTAAACTCTTTAAATTGATCTTTGTTTTATTCTTTGATAAGCTGTTAGAAATGGAACCTGTTTTTACTGTTTACCTTTTATACAGCTCATTAACAATGCGTAGGACAGCTGAGTTTTGCTTGTTGTATCTTCAGTTTTGATGCATGTATCTATTATAGCATGTGTGTGTGTGCACCTGCCTTTTTTATGTACCTCTGTGTGCACATGTATGTGTGTATGCGTTTTTGCTTATATGTATACATATGTATGTACACATGTTTGTGCATATGTGTGTGCATGTGAGTGTGTGTGTGTAACATTTGGGGTTTCTTTCCCTATATATAAATCAGATTAGCTGTGAGAGGATAACTTTTCTTCTTCCTTTTCCATATGGATACCTTTTATTTCTTCATTTTGTCTAATTTCTCTGAGTTGATCTTTGAGTGATATGTTGAACCAAAATATTGAAAGCAGGCAGCTGTGTCCCATTCCAGGTCTAAAGGGGCTTCTCCATCTTTCATCATTGACATGTTACCTTTGTGCTTTCATATGTAATCTTTGGTATATTGAAGCTATTTTCTTCCATTTTTATCATAAAATCATAAAAGAATGCTATATTTTGCCAAGGGCTTTTTTTTTACACTTGTGGAGATAATCTTAAATTTTCTCTTTGCCTTTTGTTGCTATAGTATATTATACTGGTTTATTTTCATATATTAAGTTACCCATGCATCCAAAAACAAATCCTACTCTGTTGTGGGGCATAGTCTTTCATGTTGTGTTGTTCAATCCTGTAAATCCTGTCTGCATCTACTTAAGAATTTTTTACCTAAACATTCATCAAAGATATTGGTCTATCATTTTTGTTTGTTTGTTTGTTTGTTTGTTTCTGTAATCTCTTTTTCTGGTGTTCTTATCCAGACAATGCTGACCTCATAGAATATTAATTAGAGACTGAGAAGATAGCTCAATAAGTAAAATGTTTGCCACGCAAACATGAAGACCCAGCACCCGTGTGAAAAATTACTTGCAGTAGCCCACACTTGGACTCTGGACACTGGCAAAGCAGAGACAGGCAGATCCATGGAACTTGCTAGCCCAGTGAACCCCTAGTTCCCAGTGAGGAACTCTCTCTCAAAAAAACAAGTGGTGCCAGTGAGATGACTCAGTGAGCAAAAGTGTTTGCCATAGAAACTTAACAACCCTGAGATTATAAATACAAAAGGAAAAAACTACATGAAGTTTTCCTCTACCTTCCACATAATGCTGCAGTATAGGTACCATACACATCACGTATATGTATGTATGTATGTATATAATTATAATTAATTAATAAACTAAAATATCCCAAGGTGGATGGTTCTGATGAATGACACCAAAGTCTATCTTTTGAGCTCACATGCATGTGCATACACATGAACACACACTGCCCCAGCCACACATATACATACACAAAGAGTATATTTCATCTTTCATCATTGACATGTTACCTTTGTGCTTTCA